TACAATAATAATAAAAATAAAATTCTTGGATGCAGGGTGTAAAAATTTGCAGATGGACTAAAGCTGCTTTAAGAGGAAGAGGATTTTGTTATAAAAATAGTTTTTATGGAATTCAAAGGTACCTTAAGGATCATTGCTATTTCTATATAAATATATATGAATGTGCATGTGATTATAAATATAGATAACATGGAAATAATATTTTTAATTACAAAAAAAAAGTCATCTTTGCATGGAAACTACACCATCTTTAGCCTGCGCAAATAAATGTGTATTTTGGTAAACATAAATATAAATATATATGTTATATAACCAATTAAATATATATGATAATTGATTAACTAATTATATTAATTTTACATAACTATTCATTTCATTCGCTTATTCATTCCTTTATTATTGTAAGTTGGAGACATCATACAAATCCAGTTGGAACAGAATGGAGATGGAAGGTGGATGAGCCACAGATGATTTTTGAAGGGGCAATGGCAAATCATTATCAGATGATTAAACAAATGAAAGGAGTACCTGGTGTACGTGCAGATAGATTTCAAGAAGCATTTAAGATTCAACATTGTGCATTATCATTAGTTGGTGAACCAATTTTTGTAAGATTTTGTCAATAATAAATTAATCATCATGCAATCACACATGTTGTTATTGTTATTATTACATTTTTATTTGTTATTTATTTATTTATGTTTCCAAATATAGTATCCATATATCAACGAATTTATTGAATTGCTACATGGAAAACACATCTCATCGTTTTTAGTTACAAATGCACAGTTTCCGGATAAGATTGCAGAATTGAAACCTGTTACACAACTTTACGTTAGTGTGGATGCCAGTACCAAAGAAAGTTTAAAAAAAATTGATAGACCATTATTTAAAGATTTTTGGGAAAGATTTTTGGATAGTTTAGATGAATTAAGTAGAAAGGGTCAGAGAACAGGTAAATATAATTAAACTAGTAAATTATTAATTATGAACATTGATCAGAAAGAAATGTATGTTTGATTAATGATGTTTGATAATAACAAAAAAAGTTTATAAATAAATAGTATATAGATTGACATTGGTAAAAGATTATAATACAGAAGAAATTGAGAATTATATAGAATTAATTGAGAGAGGAAGACCAGATTTCATTGAGGTGAAGGGAGTCACATATTGTGGATATAGTGGATCGAGTAATCTTACAATGGCAAATGTATGCTCTAATTAATTAATTAATTATTATTTTAAAAAATTAAATAGTAAACAAATCAATTAATAATTAATATAAATATTTAGGTGCCTTATCATAAGGAGGTGATTGAATTTGTAGAAAAAATTAGTCAAAAATTAGGAAATGTATATGAGATAGCAGCAGAACATTCACATTCATGTTCAATTCTTATTGCAAACACCAAATTCAAGATAAATGGAAGATGGCATACATGGATCAATTATGATAAATTTTTTGAATTGATAGAGAAAGGAAAAGAATTTACCAGTATCGACTATATTGCACCAACACCAGAATGGGCGATATTTGGATCTAAAGAGGCAGGATTTAACCCTGAAGATCAAAGATTCTATAGAAAATCTAAAAAGAATAACAAAGGCGGTGATGATGATGATGGTGGTGATGATGGTGAAGGGATTATCGTTGAGGATGGAGGTTGCTAATTTTAAAATATTCATTCTCTTTGAGAATCTTTAAATATCACTTTTTATTATATGAATTAATTAACTGGATAATATTTATAATATTTAATTAAAAATTAAAAGTCAAAGATTCAATCAGTGATATGATGCTTATTTGACCTTGACATATTTTGTAATAATTTTTTGAAATTTGCAAAAAAAAAAAAGGATTATATATATATATATATCATTCCAAACAGTACCTTTTCTCTTGGTCTAGTTCTATAATAATATTTGCTCCTTTCCACTCTATTTTCTGTTCCTTTTGTCATAGTCTTGTAATTGATTCATTTTTTTTATTCTTTATTTTAAATTAATATTGTCTTTTTATGATGTGTAGTGAGTTGTAGTGGGAGCTGATCTTTTTTTATATACAACAAACAAACAAAACACCCGACTTAAAAAAAAAAGAAATATGTTTAACAATTTTTCTTGTATAAAGTTATTTGTGCTTATCAGGAAATCCTCAGGAATTCGAAAACATGTTATTTCTTGTCATATTAGGTAAAAGGGGATTTTTATCTTTAGTGATTCTAATTTTATAAAGCAAAAATGATTAAACGAAGGAAGCTGACAATCTGGTGTCATGAATGACTCTTCTATTCACAATCACAGGCGGATGTTAAGATAGGATAGCCAACTTAAATCAGTCCTTGGTTATGTTATCTATACTGACTTCATGATAGAAGGTAGGAAAGTACGCGTTATAAACATATTTGATATATGGTTAACACGAATTGGATTTTGTGCTGATCAGAAAAATCCTATCATCCAAAAGAAAAATGTATGAACTCCGCCGCTGATTATGGTGATTAAATTTTTTTTTTTTCTTATAATAATAATAAATGTTATTATTGATGTTGTAATATGCGTAATTAAAACCACCACCCTCCAAGGGGTCTGGCACGGTTCCCGAAAACTATTTTCCCCAATAGCTCATTAAATTGACTTAAACAGCTTAGCCGGCTAATAAATGGTTTAACAGGCTAAGCCAGACTTAAACAAATTAACCGGCTATAAATAGTCTTAAACATATTAATCGGCTAATAAATGACTTAGTAGTCGGTTGCTGATTTTAATATATGATCGACATGGCGTGTTTTCTGTCAATGAATGAATTGAGCGTAAACTCATTATTAATATTAAACAATTTTCGTGCTCCAAGTAAATACAATCACGCATTTTTGACTTTTAAAATGCAAGCTTTATGATTCTTTAGCTCTTCTGGTTCTGGAATAATAGCCTCCCGAAGAAACCTATGGTTTTTGGTTTCGGAAGCTTAATTCTTTTCGGAAATCAGTTTAGTAGTAAATGAGTGTGTGGGAACTGAGTTTGTATTCAACGAAAGAAAAACTTAACTCCTTGAGAATAACTGATGAAACAAAGGAGAGATTGGGATACACAAAAAAAAACTAGACAATATATATTTATAAGTTTTTTGTGTGAGCTTTATATTTTATTAGCCTTTAAAAAAATTTTACTTACGTATTTTTGACAGATTTAACGTAATAGTTTTACAATTTTGGTAACATTCCGTCAAACAACATTAATTGAGACGCAATCAGGTTTTTATTGAAAAAATCCAAGCCGGCCTGATATTTTACCTAAAATATAATAATAAAATTTCCTTGTGATGAGCACCATCCTTTTTCCACACATTGATTCTGTGACTGACAATAATGATAATAATGGTAATAATGAAATTAACCATCAAATATATTAATATTCACAATATCTGTTGAATCCAAAAGTATCATTTGCCATATTTATCACTTTTCATCCTTCAATATAAATTATTTTAAAAAATTTTAAATTATATCAAAAAATTCTTTTCTTTATCCGCCCAAAAAAACCTCCTGCACACCCAAATATTCTGGTCCAGGTGATTTTAATAGATTTGATACTGGTTCGCATTCATTTTGATTATAAGCATATTCACCAGTAAATTTATGTACAGACCGTGTAATACTATCGATACGAAATTTTGATCTTGTTGATGTTGATATTGTTGATACAGTCAAACCTTGTCACAGCGGACTATAATTAAATTCTTGTCGTAATGGATTTTTAAAATTTTTGCCTCATATTCGCATATAATAATAATAATAATAATAATATGTTATCCGTAATTCTGAACATCCGGGAAAATCTGATGGAATATGCAATTCTAATTAGAAAAGGAATATGAGATTCAATTTATAAATGTTTCTAATAAGTTTTGACTTGAAAAACTATTTTCTAATACACAAATTATACTAATTTTTCTTTCTTCATCTTCTTTATCATCACCATCTTTTAATAATGTATGAAGAAACTTTTGACTCTAGTCATTGACGTAACTAAAGTATTGACTAAAGGTAGTTTCTCACCAGGGTCATTTTGACGACTTGACGTAAGTAAAACCACTTGACGTAATTAAAGACACTTGACATAAGTAAAAAGGCTTAATACAAGTAAATCACTTGATATAAGCAGCAATAATGATGCGTGTCCCAGGAATCAATAAAGAATTATTGTATCATTATATGTACTGTACAGTATGATTATACGGGAGAACTTTTACTTAATTAAACTACTTATCCCCCCGTATACTTTTCTCAAAATAAAAATGCTATTCTTTTTTACAAATTAAAACTATTCTTTTATTATTACATTTCATATATATAATCAAATTGTCTTTGATACATGAGTTGTGTAAAATTGATGTTTTTTCGAGTTTTTGTCTTGGAAGTTAGCTACGCATAATAGTAATATGCAATAATATTAATAATTTTCTTGGGCTGTTTTTGGTATCTGAGTTTGAAGCAATATAGATTGATCAATATTGGTACTTGGAACGACCTTTACATAGCACATAAGACAGGTTTTGGTACAAATTTTTATAAGTTTTAATTTCTTTTCTATTTTTATCACTTTAAATCTTCAAAGAATTTTTTTTATTGGATTATGATAAATCGATTGGTGATGATGAATAATGCAATTTAATCCTTTTAAAAGACAATAAAAAACATGTACGAAAAAAATTGCTTGTTACACATTACTCAATTCTCCGCAAAAATCTCCACATTCATTAAAGCATCAAGTCGAATTTTATATTTTATATTTTATAATGTCATATTATAAACTAACATCATCGTTATCATCAGAAAGAAGGGGATTTGTATATAAAATTAATGGTGGAATGCATAATAATGCTAATGCTAATTCTGATAGAGAAAGTATAAAAGATTATTTTTTTTCATTAGTCGAAAAAAACAAGGAGCTTTCTGAAAATGAAAAAGAATATTGTATAGAAAAGTTTATTTATGAGTTTGAATTAGATAATGCAACATATGAACTGGGAAAACCAAAAGAATGCAACAAGTGCAAATTGACAAGATACTCTGATAGGTTTTGTGAAGGTTGTATTAGATTACAATTACAGAGCCTTTTCACCACTTGGACATCTGGGAATAACATAATTGATGATTTTATTCAACAATGTCAAATGAAATCATCTCTGCCAGACTATATTTAGAATGGATACCTTTTGACCAATTTTATGATATAACAAAGTTGACAGAAGGTGGATTTAGTTCAATTTATACTGCGGAATGGATGAGGGGAAGTATTGATGATTACAACGAAAATACAAAGGAATTTAGTTATTTTGGAGGTAATGGGCAAGAAGTTGTATTAAAAAGTTTAAACAATTCAAGTAATCCAGGAAAAGCCTTTTTTGATGAGGTTGGTAGTTGTCATTTAAAACAAAATAAATAATACTGTATTATATAATAATAATTGGTTTTATATTCAATAGGCAATGAATTATTGTAAAATTAAATCGGGGTTGATTATTCAGTGTTATGGTATAACTAAATTCCCAGATAGTGGAAATTATGCAATAGTTTTACCTTATGCTTCAGAAGGAAATTTAAGGGGTTATTTACAAAACAATCACTTAACATTAACATTAAAAGACAGAATTACAATATTTTATTATCTATGCTGTGCATTAGATGATATACATGAAAAAGATTTAATCCATTGTGATTTACATAGTGGTAATATACTTGTGGAAGGAGGTGGTTGTTATATTACAGATTTAGGATTATGTGGACCAGTTGATGATGAATCATCCAATAAAGTCTATGGGATTGTATCATATATTGCGCCCGAGCTACTTAGAGGAAATAATACAAAGAATACCAAAGAATCAGATATCTATAGTGTTGGGATGTTAATGTGGGAAATATTTGCAGGACATCCACCATTTGATGATAGGGCTCACAATCATCGCTTGATTTTTGATATATGTGAAGGTTTACGACCACCAATACTACCTGGAATGCCTGATGATTATGTGCAAATGTTGCAGAAGTGTTGGGATGTGGATCCATCAAAAAGAGCAACTAGTAGAGAGCTTTATCGATTCGCTAAAAATAAACATAACAAAGTTTTTAATAATGATGATGATGATAATACTACTAGCAGTGGTAGTGGCACTTCGCAACAAGCACACAAATCACATCCAGATGCATATCATAAAAGTAGAATATTAGATGAAGAGATTGCTAAATCTAGAAGCTTAAAAATTTATACAAGTAATAGTTCATTAAATAATCTTGATTGTAATTCTTTTCTCTAATTTGTTAACAAAGGTGGATAAAAATTTTATTATTAATCAATTGGAAATTA